ATAATTATTATTATTAAACTGTAAATTTTTCCCGAAATACTGGGCTGTCACAATGATTACATTGTTCATGCGGTGTGAGAGTGACATTTGTACAATTGTAAATCGCAAATTCCCGCTCAGCAGCAAGCTCTGTGCGCTTTATTATCTTTGTTTCTTTGTTTACCTGAAGAATAGATTACAAGAACATTTGTATTAAAATTAAATCGTTTACAAACGCATTTTATTTCTAATTTGATTAATTTACAGTCTGTGCTACATATGTGAAAGCAGCAAGAAACAATAGTTTTTAGTATCATTAACATTTCAGTTGGTTGGTTGCATTTAAAGGGTCAACACAAGGAAAATCATGGGACGGTTCGGGCACAATTCTCATGTAAAACTCAGACTAACACACAAGCACACATACTTGGGCGCCAGGCACGCATAAACAAACACACACACATACACACATACACATACACATACGCACATGTACACACACACATAAACACACACACATACACACAAACACACACAATCCCACTTGAATGACTATCACATTGGAAATAACATCGGTAAGTTTGTCCCTGGGATTATGTTCATCTCTCTTCAAAGACGTACATTGGTAGTCGCCATCTACACATACACACATAAACTATTAAAGTTTTGATAGGCCAGATCAAGTGAAGAAAATCACAAAACCGTTGTACTGAAGTCTTAACGTCATCATCTTCATTGTCATTGCCTTCCTCGCCCTGGAGTGGATCAGGGTAGAATCCATTGTCAAACACTTTCCACTTTTCCACTACTTGAAATTGTTCGGTGTCTCAAGAGGGTCGGAAAGAGACAGTAACGTGCGTGGAAAAGCCAGCAGAATAACCAACCAGTTGATAACTGGTACGGTCAGCAAACCAAAACTTTCATTGATTCTGGAGAGGAGGCAAGAGCAGCTATGCCGTTGTCCATTTGCCTGCAATGATATCTGTTGTCAAACCAAGTAGTGGGTAGTGAGTCCTGCAAGATATACTGTTCCGTATTTTAAACTTCTGAAAACAAAAATTATTGTTGTGGCTGTGTACAGTTTATTCACCTAATAGTCTGCTTCTCAGAACAACGAGGCCAATTATCTATTGTCCTTTACAATAGTTATGTCCCGACGCAGTGGACTCAGGCGCTGGTCAATTCTTTGGCAAGTGGGGTTATTGGTGGCAGCTAAAAGCTGATTCATTTTCCTTCCTTTCGAATGAAAATACCAATTTATCTTGCATAGAAGTTGAGATATTTGCGATTGAGGGAAGTGGTGGTAGCTTCGTTTCAGAGGCAAAATTAGGGGGAAAATGGCCGCAAAAGTTGGGTAACTTATATAACTTGAGAGTCCTTGAAAACTGAAAATTTACATATTTTCTGGATTTAGTCAATGTTTTTCCGAAAAAAAAAAATCACATGGAAATGTGTTTTTAGATGAACTTAAAAGGTGTTGTTCCAAAATTCGATAACAATTGTCAACTGCAGGAAAAAATGCCTGTTTCGTCGATTTTCATTGTTTTGACGAGCGCCTGAGTTCACGACGACGCTACACATTTGTTGGTTCCCAGTTCCAAGTTAAAAGAAGATACTTAAACCTCAGTGGTTTTTCCCTTCAGCAACATTATCGTAATCATCATCATGTTTGCTTGTCTCCATCTGAGCAGAGAAATCATTGTTGTCTGGTACAGTATGATCTGTCCCTTTTTGCTCCAGCATCTCGGTCTGGGCTTTCTGGGTATGTTGGCTAGTCGTGATGTTACTCTTTTCTTCATTACCGGAAACTACGCCTTGGTCATAATGCTCACTGGGCATTTCATTCGTTTCTTCTTTATTGGTAAATGCATCTTGACCATAATGCTCAGTGGACATTGGGTTCTGTTCTTCTTTATTGGACTCTACGTTCTGATCATAATGATTATAAGATACTTCGTGTTTCGTATTGTGCTCAAAATCGTCTGCTTTTGGGATAGTATTTGCCTCTTCGGGACTGGACTCTTCAGTACGCATAAACTGAACATTGTCACTATTCGACATGTCTCTCCTGTCTTCATTATTGGAGAATCTCGACTCTTCAGTGCGCATGTACTCAACATTGTCGTTGTTCGGCATATCTTTCTTGTCTTCATTATCGGAGAATCTATCTTGTGAGCCTACGTCTATGTCCTTGCCGTTTTTGTCCGTACTATAAGCGCGTTCACGATGAGACCCCGCATCTTGTGCAGACTGTGTGATAAAGGTCTCTGGGATACCAGAAGTGTCGACATCAGCAGACTCTTCATTTTGCGCTGCTGTGTTTTCATCGTTCACATAAGGTACACGGGCTTCGTCTTCATTCTCTGACATTTCATTCTGAGCATGTTCTTTCTGCTGTTCTTTCTCCCTCATGTTCACGCTGTGTGGGTCACTTTTATCGCCTTCATCATCTGATCCTTCACTCATTCCATACTGACCATTATTCCTCTCGAGGTCATCATATTTGTCTCCAGTTCTGGTCACTTTGTCTTGATGATACTCGCTGTTACCTCCTTTGTTCACACCATCATCATTTTCCTCAGAACTTTTTATTTCATTTTGTGCCGGCTGACTATTGCCAGATTCTGACATAGCGTTAGGTTCCCCTTGTCCATAATGTCCTATGTTCGTGGTGTCATAAAATGGCGTAGGCGGGGTAATCTGTGAGTGTGTTACTACTGCGCTTCTTTCTTCTGATTCTTGATCAACATACTTAGGGCTTTCTGTCTCGCCCTGGTCATCATAGCTTGGCTTTTTGTCTACTAGTTCTGTTCCCTGTTTTCCGCAACTGTCTTCTTTTTCTTCTCCTTCTTCTTCTTCCTCTTCTTTCTCATCTCCCCCACCAGTTGTTCCATCCTCAACGTCACCATCATATTTGTTTTCTAGTTCCTCGTCTCTTGTTACGATCTCTACTTCTTCAACTCCACCATCTACCCCTGTTCCGTCTTCTCCTAAATATTCGTGTTCTTCTCTTGTTTCTGCCTCGACTCTTTCTTCTGTTTCTGCCTTTTCTCCGTTTTCTGTTGTTTTCTCTCCCTTGTTGTCATCCGTTTTATCCGCTTTTATTCCTTCCGAGCTTGTTGTAAAAGTTTTACCTTCGTCCTTTTCCTCTTCCTTCTCCTCCTCTTGATCCTGCTTTTCTTCTGTTGTCCCAGTCTCTCTCTCTCCGGATGGACGTTGTTCATTATTCATGTTGCACTCTGAAACTTTTTCAAGACAAGTCTCAGTGATGCTTAACTGTGCGCTTTCCCCTACCTCCTCATCTACTGTCCCCTCTTCTTCCTCTTCACTCTCACTCTCATCTTCTGATTCACCACTCTCCACCTCAACACCACTCACAGTTGTTTCTGCCTCCTCTTCCTCTACCTCTTCCCCTCCCTCTTCCCCTCCCTCTTCGCCAATTCGACCTGACCTATAGTCCTCTTTGACAGAGTACGTCACACAGTCCGGAGATGGTGACTGCTTCTCTGTCTCGGTCGCGGCAAAACGGTCGCCTCTCGACTCTAAATTGGCATATTTCTTACTAACGTTCTGAGTCTCATCCTCCCCTCTACCAGTCGTGTCTCTGTCCTCGTCTCCTCGGCTGTTCCTGAAGCCTACGGAATACATATGTCTCTCTTCCTCCCCGTCTGCCTCAGTAGCTTCGGAATCAATACGATTTCCTTCAGACTCGAGTTTCTCATCGTCTCCGTCATAGTTTCTGACATCCCTATTCTCTTTTTGAGAAATAGATTCTGTTTTTGAGTCGCTTTCAACAGTGTTTAGGCCACCTCTAGCAACTCCCTCCGATATGTTCCTCGTCTCCATGTCTCTCTGCTCCGTCTGCGACCCTCGACTCGTCTCTTTCTCCGTCTCTGACCCTGAACCTGATCGGCTTTGAGACCTTGAGTAACGAGACGAAGCTGACCTTGACCGTGACCTTGATCTTGATCTTGACCTTGAACGGGACCGTGACCTCGACCTTGACCTTGATCCTGACCTTGATCTTGACCTAGACCGTGACACAGACCTGGACCTAGATTGTGACCTTGATCTTGATCGTGACCTTGAGCGAGATATTTCTCGCTTAGGAGACCTAGACCTCCCCGACGAATCAGAAGAGTAAGATCGAGACCTCGACAATGTTTTCTCCGCTTTCTCGTTCGCTACACTCTTTTCCTGCATCTTTGACTCGTCCTCACTTCCACCCTGTTTCGTTAACCGCGCCTTTTTCTGTTTCGGCGTCGCCAGCTCAGTCTTCTCATTGACATTCTCGCCCTCATCACCGTCACGTTTGCTCGCTTTGTTGAGCTCGCTCAGACCCCTAGGCGCACCTCGAACCAACTTCGGTTTGCTCGAAGCTGGTGCAGGAGACTTCTCTTTTTTAATCTTCGCACCTTTCGTTTCTTTTACCGTAACCGCCTCGCGATGCCGCTGCTGCTTCTTCTTTTGTTCATGATCAGAAATATCATCATCATCATCATCATCATCGCAATTAGCATCACTTGAGTCATCGCTGTGAGGACCCTCCGTGACTCGGCCTCTCCTGTCAGTCTTTTTGCTCCTGCTCCTCTCTTCCTCCACCGATTCCTGAACAACCCGCACAGGGTCCGCGAGATCCTCATTGTCGGGCGCCCACCTCATCCGGTCTCGTATCATCTTTGTCGTCGTCGGTTTCATCAGTCTCGCGTTTGCTCTCTCCATTTCGGCCGGGGACGAGAATTTTCTTGGGTTTTGCTCAAACAGTGTACCATTATGCATCATGTAGAACGTATCAAACTCAGTTCTGTAAGCAGAATTACGGCTCTGACGACCCTGCACCGTCGTTCTTCTGTCCGGATGATGAACATCACCGCTACGTTTGGCGTCTTTCTTCTCAAAGTCATTTTCCGCTTTTTTCGTCGCCTGTCCCGAATCCGAAGTCTTTCCTTTTTCCGGGCTCCTACTTTTTACACCACGATCTCCAGACTGACCTTTTGGTGGGTCCGAATTATTTCGTGTCGGGCGGTTGCTGTAGGCTTGCGTCGCTGTGCTGCTGCTAGTGAATCTGCTCTCGGGAGGGATTATCGACGCTTGTTGCGTGGTGGTGGTGGTGCGCAGTGGTGCGCTCTTCACTCTTGAAAGCTGGTGCGTGTCCGACACACGGCCTCTAGCCTCTGGTCTATAGTTGTAGGATATCTCCTCTCTTCTGTGTACTGACGCTGCGGCACCTGTACGCGTGTGAGGACGGCTCCCTATCGCGTCTATAGACCTGCTCCCTACAGCTCCATCCCCTCTGTGGTCTACACTTCCTCTCGTGCTTTGTTGATGAAGCGATCTCCTCTGCGCAGCCCTTCCTCTGGGTTGCTTAGAGGCAGACATGCTGTACGGTTGTACAGGGTACATCACATATAACCTAGGCATGGGCTCGCAGTAAGGAGACTGGCTCAACCTATTGTCTACCTTCTCTCTACGGTCTAGCTTAACCCTCTCCTTCTCCCACTGGCTTCTCCGAGCTGCCGCAACCTTCACGTTCTGTCTCTGACGGGCCGGCACTTTCGATCTCATTATTTCTTCCAAGATCAAAAGTCTTCTTTTAGGCGGGCTGTATCCCAAACCGCTTCTGCTGTTCACGCTCTTGCGAGATACGGTCGAGGCTGATCCGATCGTCTTTCTGCGAGCTTTCTTCGTGTTGTTATTTTTGACGTCACAGTCTTTATCTTCCGGTCCATCCTTTTCGCTTGTTTTATCCTGCTGGCTCAAATCTTCTTCACACGTGGTGTCGCCATTTTGAATTATGACGTCACGATCTTGAAAGTCATTATCAGACGACTCGTATGCAGAACTTCGGTGTGCGTCGTCTCTCCGCTCAGATTCTCGACTCTCGACAAGAGGCAAGCGATCTTCTTCCTTTCTCTCCCTGTCAGACATTCTATCTTTGTTCGTCTGTTCTCTCATCCTCCCACCTTTCTCATGACTATGATACCTTGAATTACTTAGTCCAGGGTGTTTTATAGAAGACTGAAATCTACCTTGTTTTTCCTCGCTCCGTTCGCTACCATACCCTGAGTGGTCCTCATCTACATAATAGTACCCGCCTCCGCCTCCACCTTCTTCGTCGGACCAATCAGAGCACGGCACAACCCGACGATGTCCCGAAGGCCTCTGCTGCTGACGTTTAAGCCCCGCATCATTCTCATAAGCTCCTCCTCCTCCTCCTTTTCCGTCTTCCTCTGTCTCCCCCTCCCCCTCCTCCTGATTCTCCCCGTGGTCAGACAAGCGCCCTCTAGGGGAGCCTCTGCTCTTCGCTGACCGGCTGACCCCTGACTTGTGACGTATAAAGGAGACTACGGTAGGTCTGGTCAGCCTGTTGTTGATTTCTTTGACTTCCTGTAAGAAACAAAGGAAAATGCGATTTTAAGTTAAAACAAACAAACAAACAAAAATAATAAGCACACACACACATACACACACACTCACACACAAACACACACACCTCAAAGTGGTTTGAACTTGAGAGCACTTTTAGTTCTTGAATAAGAGGAAAGCTACGGAGAAAAGAAATCTCCAATTGCACATAATAATAGCTGTGAGGACAACTCAGACAGCAAAGTGCTGTGTCTTTGAAATTGCACCTTTATTATCACGTCTCCCCCCCCCCCCCCCC